GGGCCGGGCCCCCCCCCCCCCCCCCCAATTATGACACTTATCACATCATGGCAGGGTTTCAGTGCATATCACAGCAAATGAAATGGCACTACTCGGGGCTGCGTTGTCCAGTTTTGATTATCCACACTGAAGGAGGAAACCGAGGAGAGCTAACAAAAAGCAGTAAATAATCCAAAAGACCAGACATTTCATGCTGGACTGTACTATTTTGCTTCTATGGAATACGAGTGGGCCAAATGTCCTGAGAATCCGTTTTGAACAAAATAATAAGTTCACATTGTAAAGATTTGTCATTGGAGAAGCAATAAACTGACCTAGTTTCATTGGGGAGATTCTATCCGAACTATGGCTCCCTGCCCCTCCCCCCACTGAGTCTTCAGATGGAATAACTGAGACTGGGCATTACCCCAGGCAGGGCCACCATCCTTCAGACTTTTCTAGGAACAAGAAGGTAGCTCCCCATGGGTTTAGACGCATGAAACTAAATTGAGTGAGACAAAGTATCAACAATATCCGTGTTTACATTATTTAGCCAGAGACTTAACTGTGGGCTACTGGGAGGAAGCTGAGGCTGGGCTGGTTCTGTTCCCGACTCTGCACCTTGCGGGCACTGTGTGATCTTCCATGAGTCGCATAACTTCCAGACTCATTAGCTAAAAAATGAGGAAGTTGGACCTGCTTATTGCTAGCTCTGTCCGAGTGTTAAAGGTGTACGTTTCAAGCAGTGAGCTTAGGTGGAAGGTTTTCCTGGGGTGAGCCTCTGCCAGTCATCCATCCAGATAACTGAGAGGTGACTGCATTTATATTGTGTCCATTACCCTCCCCTGCTTCCAGAGTACATATGATATTGTAATGTGACGTTTGCGTGATTTATTCCTTCAATTCTTGGGCAATCCCTGGGAAGTAGCCCACCATTACTGTGTGTATCTCTTTTATGGTTAAGGAAGTTACTCCAAATCATCAAGCAGTGGAACAGCAGGACAGCATAATAGGATGCTTTTGTTTATAGTTCATTATAGGATGTTTCCTTTCAGTGGCCTGAGGAATTTACAGTAAGCATTTCATTTAGGCCCGAGTAGTAGCTAGAACAGAGGGAATAGGCTGGGATTGCGTGGCCGGATCTGGCTCACTTGCTGTAACAATAGTGATGCCAGCTATGAGTGGAAAAGGCATGAGGGGTTGGGGGTGGGATGGGGAGAAAGTGATGGAAACAAAATAGTTTGAATCATCTGAAAGAGGACTAAACAAAAGTACTCAGAAAGCTCGTAAAGGAATTGCTCTTTACTGACAGGAGTTTCCACCTGGAAACTTCATTCTCCTTATTTGATCTTTTTTCCTAAATCATGTTCCACAAATGGAAAGCTGAAAACCAATGCATAAAACTTCTTCAAAACCATCAGCATTATAATCAGAGGGTCAGCGAGAGGGGCTAGAGGCTGCTTCAGCCAGAGCCTCAAAGAGAACCTTGACTAAATTATACGAATCCCAACAGGAAGCCCTAGCCACCTAGATCCAGGCTCTTGGTCAAGTCACCCTAAGGGAAAGCACTTTAGGGAGTACGTTCATACAGACCTGTATGAGTCCATTTGCGTTGCTTATAACAAAATACACAGAACTGGGTATTTTATAAAGAAAATGAAACTTATTGGGCCGGCCTGGTGCAGTGCACCTCTTGGGAGCGTGGCGGCGCTCCCGCCGAGGGTTCAGATCCCACATACAGACTGGTTCCCGCTCACTGGCTGAGCGAGGGGCAGGCGCAACACCGAGGGGTGCGATCCCGTCGCCGGTCCCGGTCCAGTACAGGCGCAACACTGAGGGTTGCGTCCGTTGCCAGACACGAAAAAAGACAAAAAGGAAAAAAAAAAAAAAAAAAAGAAAATGAAACTTATTGCTTACAGTCTCTGAGGCTGGGAAGTCCAAAGTCCATCTGGTGGTGGCAGCAGCAACCCAGGGGTCTCACATTGCAAGATGGTGGAAGCAGAGAGAGGAGAGAGCAAGACAGCTTACCGTCTTCTTTTAAAGCCCTCAGAACCACACCCCTGACCGCCATTTCAAATCCATTCACTACTGCACGGTCCTACAATCTAATCCCCTCTCCAAGGCTCCACCTTTCAATTACCATAATAGGATTTCCCACCCTCTTAACAGTCACAGTGGGGGCTAAGTTTCTTATACATAAAACCTGGGGGATGCAATTCAAGCTTCAATGAGTTTTGAGGGGACATAATTCAATCTACTGCAAGACCCAACATGCACACAAAGACTTACTTATAAACTTGTATGTAAATTTATTTTTACAGTAGGAGACTTTTGTACAGTGTGTTCCCATATTCTCTCTCAGTGAGTAGTTCTGCTCAGAAAACAAAAATTCCAAAGAAAAGTTTATATAATGAGCACCTATCCAGAAAAAGAAAAAGAGAGAGAGAGAGGACGGGAAGGAGGGAGAAAGAGGAAAGACAGAAAGAGAGAGAAAGAGAACAAAGGAAAGGAAGGAAGGAAAGGCAGGAAGAGAGAAAGACTGGAAGGAAGGAAAGAGAGAAGGAAGGAAGGAAGGAAGGAATAAACGAACAAACGAACTGGGCATTGATCAAGCAAGTTGCAGGAAGCTATGAAGTGTTCTGTGCCCCACCAGGCACTTGCCATTAGGATCAGAACACACACGCTCATGACCTCTTTACTTTCCTTTCTTCTTTTCCAAAGTGCATTCTCAGCCACCAGAATCTTCTCTAATGAGTTACTTTGTTTAACAGTGGCTACATTTAATGTTTTCCTGAGAAGGCAGAGACACCCCTCACTTTTTGTGTGTACATAGCGCATTGTTGCCTGGGAAGATTTCTACAGACCTTGTCTAGTTTATGTGGATTCATGTTAATTTTCATTTCAGAAACTTTCCTTTCAGAGGTTGATGTTTTCCAGTCTTTTGTCCCCTCAATTTGGTGGGAGTGTCACCTCATAGGAGACCCAAATATCCCCCCTAAAGCAGAACTCTCACTCGGTCTGTCAACGAGCCTGTTTTCATGTTAAATGTCTCAGTGTGTTTCATGTTCCCTAATTTCCAATGGCCGTCAGTTACAATATCAGAAATTAAAACCCACACAGAATCACAGTGTCTTTGTTTTCACTGTCTTCCAGTGTCATCTTGCATTACAACATATAAGAAGACACCACCTCCAGTCCCACCCAGAACTACCACGAAACCTTTCATTTCTATCACAGCCCAGAGCAGCACAGAGTCTGCCCAGGATGCCTACATGGACGGACAGGGCCAGCGGGGAGATATAATCAGCCAGTCTGGACTCAGCAACTCCACGGAGAGCCTGGACAGTATGAAGGCTCTGACAGCCGCCATCGAAGCCGCAAATGCCCAGATCCACGGTCCCGCAAGTCAACACATGGGCAATAACACTGCCACTGTCACCACCACGACCACCATAGCCACGGTCACCACAGAGGACAGAAAGAAGGACCACTTTAAGAAAAATCGATGCCTGTCTATCGGGATACAGGTAACAGCCTCCCCTTCTGTCCTTTGAGATAGGAAGCAACAACTAAGAAATCTAACACTTTTTTCCAGAAGGTTTGCTCTTTTGTCATTTGGGATGATATAGCTATGTGGAGGACCAGATTTTCAAATTATTGGCTTGGGAATCCCTAGGTTGTTAAATGTGATCAAAATTATGAAGGTATTTTGTCTGTAGGCATTATGAGCAGCTGTTATCTTTGTTCTCTAAATTGAATGTGTGACTCAAACTGTAGGATAACTCAAGTACATGAACACAGTCAAACATAAGGTGCCTTCAATGACCAATGCACGTGTTGATTCATAAAAAAGGAGTGGACATCCAAGAATAACCCCGGTCACGGGGCTGCGTTAAAACATGTTCAACACTATTGAATTACCACACGAGAGCAGAAACGTGAACCACTTCTCACAGATGTGGGAGTTAGAGCAAGCAAGACCCGAGTGACCGACAGCGTGCAGAGCAGTAAGTCACATCTCAGCCTCGTGAGGAACGAGGGCGCGTCAGTCTCAGCCTCGCTGTTGGCCAGTTAATCACGCATTTCATAAGAAGTGGTAGAAAACTCAGCAGGCTTCTTAGTTCAGTTTTCCACTTTTCAAAGAGAAGATCACATTGATTCCACCTTATGTTTTACATCTGTTTAGGTTGGTTTATCCTGCTGTTTCCTTCTATCAAAGAAGAGTCATTCTGGGCCGAGCCCGTGGCGCACCCGGGAGAGTGCGGTGCTGGGAGTGCAGCAGCGCTCCTGCCGCGGGTTCGGATCCTATATAGGGATGACCGGTGCACTCACAGCGCTCATGGCTGAGCACGGTGCAGCCGGTCTCAAAAAGGACAAAAAAAAAAAGAAGAGTCATTCGGGGCCGAGCCCGGGGCGCGCCCGGGAGAGTGCGGTGCTGGGAGTGCAGCAGCGCTCCTGCCGCGGGTTCGGATCCTATATAGGGATGACCGGTGCACTCACAGCGCTCATGGCTGAGCACGGTGCAGCCGGTCTCAAAAAGGACAAAAAAAAAAAAGAAGAGTCATTCTTTTTCCTCGTTTTTGTTGGGCTGTATCATTCTGCAGGTGCCCTTTGAATAATAACTTCTCAATGTGATGTCCAGTTAATCTGGACACACTGAACCAACTCTAAGGCACGTCTAAAAGCCAGACGTGGGGTACATTCTCACAACGATTGTGTACTTTCCCAGTCCATTCTGCAAAGTCCACTTTTAAAGGCTGATTAATCTTTCTCTAGTAGCAATGAGTCAAATACCTTTTTATAATCTACAGGTTACCATAGTACAAGTTGTCAAGTGTCCTGAAAGCACTTGTCGCATTGGTGCTTGGGAGGGGATGACACAGTGAGAAGCAAAGACCCGAGGCCCCCACCCTCCCCACCCCTGCCCATGTCTTCCTGTGATTCCACTAGAAGTTAATTCTGCACGCGCCACCCAGAGGATTTTGAGTGGGGAAGAGCAGAGGTTAGCTTTGTGTGTTGTCCTAGGCAAACTACTTCATCTTCCTGAGCCATGGGTTCTTCATTTATTCCTCCCGGGATTATTCTGAGGATTGAATTTTTAAAAATCTAGCTTCCTGTGGGGGTTATTATTTAATGGGCACAGAGTTTCAGTTTGAGATGATCAAAAAATTCTGGAGATGGAAAATGGTGATGGTTGCACAATTAATGTGAACGTATCAAACTGAACCACTTAAAAATGGTTAAAATGGTAAACTTTATGATATGTATATGAGTATCTTACTACAACAAAAATCTACCTTTCTATCTGGCACGTAGTTGGCTCCAAAGAATGTTAGTTTGCTTTGACTTCCTTAATAGCCAATTCAACTTGTTCTTATTTTAATTTAGATTATTTCCAATAGGTAGTACATTTCCATTGTTCGAAATTTAAAACTCATAAAAAGGTACCATAACAAGCTTCTCTCCCATTCCTATTCAATATATTCAGTTCTTTCTAGATGAAATCAATATAATCAATATTTGCATCTCTGTACAGAGATATTTTGTATATATTCATGCAAATATATTTTTTATTTACTTTTTTACCCAGATGTTAGCATAGACTTACACTATTCTACACGTTGCCTTTTCTCACTTAACAATATATTCTGAAGATAATGGTTTCTCAGTCTTACTTTCCATTTTACTTAAAAGCTTCTCTACGCTTATCTTCAACAATTCCCAGGCTGTGCTGTTTGGTCTTATAGGCTCCTCCCCAAATAATCCTTACTCGGAATAAAGCATTCATACATATAAAATCTAACTCTAGTTATTATCTTCACCCAGTAAGATGGAACTACTCTGAAATCCACATATAATGTTGGGGAGAAAGATATTTTCTTCAGAAATTCTCCCATTTCTTAAATATTTGATTGTTTCTGTGAGCAAAAAACCTGCTCTTCTTCTTCCTGCAAGCATTGTGCACCTGCTGTATCAATTATAGCAAAGCGCCGAGCACTTTACATGAGTCCTGCAGTTAACCCTCCCGCACCTCTATGAGATGGGTATTATCGCTGTCTCCATCCTACAGATGAGAGCACAGAGAGGTTAAGAACTTGCCCAAGGTCACCCATCTTATGTTGACAGAGCCAAGGGTGTACCTAGATGTCTAACACAACCACATTATTCTGCTTTCTTGGATTTAAAAAATTCAAGATACAAAATGTTCACCGAATTTCATTAGATGGAGATCTAACTTAAATACTAGTCCCCCAAATATATAACACTGGGATCTTGGGCTCCCTCCCACCCTTTCCCTCTTTAGGACTAGGGTTTCCAAGCTTTCTCCAACATTTTTAACTTAATCTGTAAGTAATAGTTAATATTATAACCACTCACTTATAACCTATGTGAACTTAGACCAATTACTTAATGTCTGTGTGTCTCAGTTTCCTCATCTGGAAAACGAGAGTAATAGTCCTTATTTCATGCAGTACCTGTTGTAGTAAAAACTGACTGATGTAATATACATAAGGCTTTAAGTACAGTGCCTGGCATAATAAGGGCTCAACAAATATTAGATTTAGTTGTTATTATTAATATTATCATCCTTTAAAATCACAATTAGCCAAATACACTGAAATTTTATCACTGCTGTGGCTTTCTCAATTCTTTTAGGAAATTTAAATACTATGCAATTTCTTTTAAAATTTTTGGAAGCCACTTTATAAATTTAAGTAGATTATCATAGATACCATATGAGAAAGGTGACATTTGTCAATATTTGGATCTAAGAGGGTGAAAGTCACAGAGCTAAATTTACATATGGTGACTAAAGCTTAGGAGATACTAACACTGTGATGCAAGTGGGAGCTGGCAGTGTGGACAGGTGGGGGAGGCTTGAACCAGGACGACAGTGGCCACGCTTCTCATTCTCATGACTGCTGCTTCCCTTCTTTCCCCTTTTCTCTGTGCATCGAGGATCATGGTTTTTAAGGGAAATAACTGATCGCGTATCTTTTGAAAAAAGTTTCACTGGGTAATATTGACACTACTCCATGGTGCCAGGCTGTAACCCCTGCGTTGGCTGATGTCCTAAGCACTTTTAATTTACATCAGTGTAGCCCTTCGGTGTTGGTTATCAGGCTCGGTTCTCAGACAGTGGCAGTTTGATGCACAAGATTGGTTACACAGGAAAGGAAGGCAGTAAGTAGTTACCACTCCTAGGACCAGGTAAACAAAGGGGAAAGGTGGGTGACCAGAACTCAGGAGCTCAGAAGAAAGGCCCCAGACTGGCCTGTGCGTAGACCACTGAGGCGGGCTCGGCCAGCTGGGCCGGGACTTCTGCGGGGTGGGCGCAGCTGGTGCCCGGGCCAGAGGTGGCAGCCCTCGGATGCTGGAGCGACGCCAGCAGAAGGTGGAGACAGGAAGGAAGTCTCTTCCCTCCTCCCACCTTCCTTTGTTAGAGCATAACTGGAAGCCGCCAGCAAGGAAGCCTGGGAAATGTAGTTTGGGAGTCCTGACCCCAGAGTCACAGAGCAGATGGGTGTAGACGATGGGCTTGGAGCTGCTGACGGTAAGCAAATCACAAGGCACTTTGTCCTAGGTAACTAAATGCTATTTCCTTCAATGATCTTGTGTGCTAAAGAGCCTGCGATGGGTGGGATGAATATGCAGTCTTGGTTCTATCGTTCTAGCAGGAGTGTCTGGCACCACTCAGTACGATTCTGGGGTATTTAAAGATATGTACTTTCATATAATGAGGCTCCAAAAAAACTCAAGTCAAATACTTTAACTGGTGACTTCTGTGTGTGTGTGCAGAGAGTGGGGACTGGTTGCTTTGGATTTGGAGCAAAGTTGTATGTCTTTATACTAAAAGTAATGGGCAAAATTAATTTTTTGTTGTTTTTTCTTAAAATTGCAAAATGAGTACAGCATTATTACAAGGATTCATATGATACAAAAGTATAACGAACAAAATATGAAACTCTCCCTTCTTTCTCACCCCCAACTCCTACTCCACTCCCCAGAAGTGACCACTGGCAGCAGTTGGTGACACTGTTCTCATCTCTCAAGAGTCATTCTAACTACAGATGAGTTTCACACACCCTAACTCCACCACCTCCACATGGTGGATTGTGACTTTTATCTATTATCATTTAACTCATGTTGCAAAACAGACTAAAAGAGCTTTAAGCTTAATCGTTCATATTATGTGAAATGCAATTACTTTCTCATTCTTTGAATTAAAAATGAAAAAGTTATTTGAGATTGAACTCCTAAAACTTATTTATTTCCTTTAATACCTGTCCAAATGTAGAGAGATATTTTATGCCCTATGGGAAGAAATAAGTCCAATAGCAAATGATGAAACTTATCTCTGCCAAGTTAACTATTTTAAAAAATACAAACCAAATGAATTGTTACTATGATTTGAAAGAGGGCTTTGAAAAATAAAAATGTCATATAACCTATGATTCACAATTGATTGACTTAAAACAGTAAAGGAAAACTAAGGAGATAGTTTCAACACATTTGGGCTTTGTGAACTTTATTTTGATATCCTTGAAATCAGCATCAATGTTTATTTGGGAATAAATTGGGGGGGGCACTTATCTCAAGTCAAAACCAATGAAGTCACAAAGATAATTTTAATGGATTCCATAAAGAAGAAATATTGCAGTTATGTTTTCTGGGAGAAGAAACCATAAAATAAATTGCAAAAAAAAGTAAAAAGAAAAAATACCTCCCCAGGATGGTAGAGACTTGATTTTACAGAAAAGATTTTCCTGATATTCAAGAAGAAAATAATTCCTTGTTATTGAAAGCATTTAATATTAAAAGAAAAATGTCAAGATTCTCAATATATTTTATTAAACATAACTCTGTACCCAAACTTGAAAAAAATACAAGAATAAATAATTATAGAAAAACATGATTACAAATATAGATATAAAAAATTTGAACCAAATTTGAGAATTGATCCAAGCATATATTTTTTAAAAATAATATACTATTATCAAGTAGTGTATATCTCAGAAATTCAAAGTTATTTTAGCCTTTGGGGAGGAAATTCGATATCCAAGTAGATGCTAAAAAGTATAACATATGGTAAAATTCAGAAGCTGTTCCAAATATTGACATGCCTATTGACAAGCATCTATAAGAAACCAAATTAAACTTCTATTTAAAGGTGAAATGCTAGAGATATTATAATCAGAGTAAGAAATAAGATAAGGATTCCTGTTTTCACAAGCTTATTTAGTAATATTTGCCTTTATTAGACAAGACACAAGACAGGAAAGATGAATGAGGTGTAAATGTTCCGAAGAGCAAAATTGCTTTTATTTGTAGATAATATGCACGTCCACCTAGAAAATCTAGTGAAATCACTGAAAATCCATTAGAATTCAGAAAAGTAGAATACAATATAAATTTTAAAAACTCAATAACTTACCTATATATTATCAATAAACAGAAAATATAATGGGGCAAAAAGAACCCATTCACATTAGTATGAAAAAACTATAAGACAACAAGATTGAGCTTCAGAAATAATATACAACACCTATTTGAAAACTATATAAAAACTTCCCTTATGTGAAATATAAGACTTGAATAAATGGGAAACTATTCAGTATTCCTACACAGGAATATTCCATAGTTTAAATGCAGCGATTCTCTCAAAATTAATACAAATATTTTAAGAAATTCCAGTAAAAGTTAAAATGTGATTTTTATCACTTGGTGGGGGCTAAAAGGAGGAATTTGACAATTTTTTTTTTAAAGATGACTGGTAAGGGGATCTTAACCCTTGACTTGGTGTTGTCAGCACCACGCTCAGCCAGTGAGCTAACCGGCCATCCCTATATGGGATCCGAACCCATGGCCTTGGTGTTATCAGCACCACGCTCTCCCAAGTGAGCCACGGGCCAGCCCTATATAGGGATCCGAACCCGTGGCCTTGGTATTATCAGCACCACTCTCTCCCAAGTGAGCCACGGACCAGCCCGGAATTTGACAATTTAATGCGAGTGTTTACTTAGAAATTAATACCCCAAAATAACCTAGAAATTTTTGCTTTGTTTGGTTGCTTTTAATGACAGTTTTTTAGAAAAAGAACTACAGGAGGCTTGTCATAAAAAATATCAAGATTTATTACAAAATTATATTAGGAAAAAAGAGTGGGAGAGCTAATAAAACAAGTAGATCAATAGGTCAGAAAGAGGACTGTATATACGGGAATGTATGGATAAACATATATGGGTAAAGTTTGATATAAGATTAAGTTGGCACCTCAAATAAAAAAGATGAATTAGTTAGCAAATGGAGCCAGAGCAATTGATACATATATCTTACACACAAACAATTCAGGATGGTGGATTGAAGAATTAAATATGAAAACCAAAACAAAACAACCTGAAAGCATAAAAGTAAATACAAGAGAACTTTAAAAAGAATGCTCAGAATAAGGAAGGCCTTCCTGAGCCATAAAAGCTAGATATGACTGCATGATAAAATTCTCTACAATGAAGGATGAAGTTTAAAAGACAAATGATAAAGCAGTCCCCCCAGCTGACTCAGTTGGTAGAGCATGAGGCTCTTAGAAGAGAAATGATAAACTGAGGGAAAATACTTGCAGTATATATAACAAAGAAAGGATTTAGGGTCATAGATATTTTAAAAATCCTATGAGTAAGAAAATAAAAAACAATGCAATGGAGGGGAGGGGAAGGAACTAGCAAAGGATATGAACGGGAAATTTACTGATAGAAGTACAAGAGGCCAATAAATATTTTCACCTATGATATTAGCAAAAATTTAAAAGTTTGCCAACATTTAGTATTGGTGAGGGTGTAGGGAAATTGCTACCCCCATCCACTGACTGCAGGAGGATGACAAATGCTTATTTTTTTGTCCTTTTTGAGACCGGCCGCACCGCGCTCAGCCAGTGAGCGCTTTGAGCGCACCGGTCATCCCTATATAGGATCCGAACCCGCGGTGCACTCTCCCGAGTGCGCCACGGGCTCGGCCCATGACAAATTCTTTGAAGAGCAATTTGGCAATTCTCCTTACATTGCATTTATTCAGTATCTTCCACCTAGCATTTCTACTTCTAAGAATTTTTTCTAGGGGCCGGCCCGGTGGCGCACTGCTATAGTGCGCCGCTTGGGAGTGTAGTGGTGCTCCCGCCGAGGGTTCGGATCCCACATACAGACCGGTTCCCGCTCACTGGCTGAGCGAGGGGCGGGCGCAGCACCGAGGGTTGCGATCCCGTTGCCGGTCCCGGTCCGGTACGGGCGCGACACTGAGGGTTGCGGTCCATTGCCAGACATGAAAAAAAGACAAAAAGGAAAAAAAAAAAAAAAAGAATTTTTTCTACACAACGTTTACACAATTGTTTAAAAAGATATATGCAAAATATTATTTGTGATATTATACTTAATAGCAACAAACAGTAAATATCCTGATGCCTATACTGCTTAAATAAGTAGTCATTAAAAGAATTATTTCTGTAGCCAAAAAAATGATTGCGGTACAGCTACATTTACTGACATGATAAAATGTCCAAAAGATAACACTGATAATAAATAAAGAAAATTGCAGGAAAAATATATATAGTATAATCTCATCTATGTAATTTTAGTATTAATAATCAAATACATATATGTGATAGGCAAATACACATCAAAGAGTTAACAGTAGTTCTTGGGGGACATTTGCTTTCTACATTACATATTTCTGTATTTTAATTTTATATTACTTATATTTAATTTCTCTTATATTTAGAAAAATAATTTATTAAATACATAGGGGGGAAAAGGGAATAAACCTAATTGCTCTGAACAGTCCTAAAATTTGCTTCAAGTTTGGGTTTTGGCTAATATGTCATATGGGCTACCAGTTATATATGGGTATATATTGAAGATTATATCTTCATTTTCAGTTTTCAAACTACTCTGTAGTTTATCTTAATAAGGTTATTACCTAAATCTCCCAATATCACAATTGTAACTACAATAATTTAATTTTTTCCTTATTTTGTATTTTGTTATTTGCAAACTTAAAACATCCAAGAACACATTTCCATGTAGCACTCTCTTCTGATCCAGTGCTCACAGGTAAGTACGTATTCACAAATCTATGGAGGAATCATGGACATTTTATCAGCCACCTTGGGAGTAAATAAAATTGCATTTCACTAAGATCAGCAGAATTAAAGAGTATGCTAATGAGGTAATGATGGCTCTCCTCAAATATACAAATATGAGGTTACAAATCATAAAACATTCCAGTAATACTACAGATGTTTCTGATAAGATGTGATCATTTCTTTTTCGAGCAAGGAGACTGAAATGGAGCAACTCTATTTATTTGGTGATTTCTTCAGGTCGATGATGCTGAAGAACCTGACAAAACAGGGGGGAATAAAGCACCCAGTAAGTTCCAGTCCGTGGGAGTCCAAGTGGAGGAAGAGAAGTGGTGAGTGTACACGTGTTCGTCCTCTCTCGCCTTGACGTTGGCAAGTATGGTCAAAGTGTTTTCCCCTATGACGAGCCCACAAAGTTCAATGATATTTTCTTTGGGAGCATTTAGAGGGTAACCTTGAATGAATATTAGCTGATTCCCTCCTTTACTTTAATACTGGAGAGAATTTTATAAATTCTAGCTAGAATAGCAGTATAAGTACATCAGATGTACGTCAACACTGCGTGCACAGCTCTTGGATTGCCGAACTTATCCTCAGAACAACCTTCTAGTTTTACCCTGTAGACTATTTGTGAGAAGAGGACTTACCTTATTTCTGTTTTTATTCCCAACACTTAATAGCGTCTGGTGTTTTGTATGTACTCAGTTAACGATGAATGAATGAATGAGGAACAGGAAAAAAAGAGAGCATTTCCTATCGTGATCCTGAATCACCAGTTTTTTTAGATTCCCCCTCAAAATAAGCTTACTCTAGAGTCTTAATATCTAGAAGTGAGAAATTTAGGGTTTTCTGAAATAACAGAATAGAGCTGGAAGGGACTTCTGAAGTCAATATTTTCACTTTGTAAATGAGAACTTGATCAAAAGAGGTATGTGAGTTTCTCAGTCAAACTGGGAGGTCCTTAATGGGTGGAACTATGTTTTATTGATAGCAGTACTCCCAGCTTCCAGGACTGTGCTTTGTACATACTAAGTATACAGTAATGTTTGCTGAATGAAGTGAAACTGGAGTTATGGTCGGAGAAAGAGCTCTAGACTGTAAATCAGGATGCCATTTTAATTTTGCCACTAACTTTGTGTGTGTTAATTAGGGAGAACCATTTGAATGTCCACCCATTCATCCATCACTGTGCATTCAATAAATACCTATAGAATGCCTCCTACATGCAAGGCTACATGTTACATAAATGGAAAATCTGAAAAGAAGTCTTGCATCAGTTCATGGAAATAGTTCTGCCTTAGAACTTCCTGGCAGTGACTGACACTGCACTTTCATCTGAGGTGTTACACACACACACACACACACACACACACCACACATATATTAAATATACATATATATTTATATAATTATACAATGGTGGAAGCCCACAAAATTGCTAAGACTCTTTTGGAAACTAATATGACAAAAGTTAACAATAGTTATGTATCCGTTCATGCCCATTGACCCATTAATCACATTCATGAGGCTATCTTGAATGAAATCACTAAATTGGAATGGAAACAATTGTGGAACATTATCTATCATTGTAAAAGAAAAATGTTAATTATCAAATGTCAGACAACAATAGCATACTTTTGCAATTTATAGCACATTTCCAGGGTAGACTATTATACCACTATTAAATGTCTTTTGTAAAAAAAGATAAAGAAACATGGTGAAATTTCCATGAAACAATGTTAAGTGAAAAACTTGAATAAATAATATCCATGTACAATATTCATGCAGATGGACAGGGACTGAAATGTTACATGTACAATTGGTAGGTTTAGAAGTGACTGCTTTCTTTTTCTCTGAAATGTTGACTTCTTATATTTACTTCAAATTTTAGTGATCATTGTTTTCAAGCCAACCCCTCTAGGCATACATTACTTTATTAAATGTTTTAGAAAAATTTTTGAAAGTATTAATTTAGTAGACAAAAATACTCATAGTAAGAAAAGCTATTCCTCCATCCCCCACCAACCCAACTTGCTTGTTTTTCTCCATGTTGTAGTAGTTATGAGCCCAGACTCTTGAGACAGGACACCAAATCCTGACTCTGCCACTTATTACTGAGGGATCTTGAGCAAATTACTACATATCTTTGTGCCTTGGTTTACTTATATGTAAAAGGGGGATAATAGTCCATTTTTAGTCTGGCCTATAAGGAGCTTAGAAATTACCACTCTATCCTAAAAACAAGTAAAAATCTGAACAAACTGATAAATCAACAGCTCTTCTTGTATCTTTCAAAGAAGTGTGATGATAAGGCAAATCATCCCTCCAAAAATTGGAGAAACAGACAAATACACAGAATCACAACTTACACAACTTACTGGAGTAGAAACTCACAAGCAGAACCCTCTGCATGAACTAGTGTGGGGCAGGAAAACCTGAACTGTAATTGAAGAATTAATTGCTGTAGATTCAGTGTGGACAACTCTGAGAGATAAAAACTCCAAGGGGACACAGTCATAGGGAGGCCCGCACACTTTTGTGAGTTTTACCTCCAGGATCTCTAGCAGGTCCCCACAGCA